ATTTCCCAACTCCCGCACCTAGGCAACTAGGCAGTGCTAGCGCTGTCTTTCTAGGCTAAGCTTTATTTAGAGCAGGAGTAGGCTTGTTTTGGGAAACAGCCTTGCATGGACAGATGAGATGTTTTCCAAATCCCAGCAGAGCTTGGTGGCTTCCTTTAGGCTTTACGCCGTGGGTTGGGGTCTCTTGAACGCGTCCACATCCCCCTCTTCCTCACCACTCACCCGTGGCCGTGTGTTTTGGAGGAGAGGGGGGAAAATTCTCCAGTGGTTACCTTGGGCATCACTCCTTTTATAAAAATAAAGAGAAACGGAGTGATGGCTTTTACTGTATCATCCTCCTCCGTTGCTGCAAGCGTCTAATTTGCGACCGTCTAAAGGGTTTTTAAGGGTCCTGAAACCGCATAAGATCAAACGCTGTTGCAGCTCGTAACCGGACTCCTAAATACCTCCTCTTTTGGTTTCCCAGCTCCTGCAGGTCATTTTACAAACGGGAAGGGGGTTTTAGCAGTGTGACAGCTCGCTATCCGAGTGCTGCCTCTCGGCACCGCTGCAACAGCTGGTATTTACTGGGAGAAAAAAATACGTTAAGCAAATGTTGATAGTGAGGCAGCGCGAAGCACGTGTTTTCTTGTTGCGCTGCAGCGTATTGTGGGTCTGCATGGGGGGTTGCCGTTGCCGGACTGCTAAACCATATGCCTCTTGGCAGGGAGCTCTCGCTAAGTGGACTAAGGAGCTGGCATCGATTTAAAGTCGGGAGTGGAACTGTATGGGTATGCGATATTTAACTCCCCAGAGCTTTATCAAACGCAATCCAGAGTTAATGTGAACGCGTTTTTGACGTACTTGGGGATGGAGGTGAAGAAGAGGAGCTGCCTGTCGCAGAAGGGACGGTTGGCTGGATGGATTTCTGCCTGCTAGCGAGGGAAGAGGAGAGCGCGGCGAGGTGGCAGGCATAGCTGGGTTGTAGCGTAAGAGTAGGTTTGTTGGTTGTTCGTTTTGTTTTCCGTGTTTTGGAGCTGCGCCGTGGCCACACTGGGCAGGTGTGATGCAATCACAGACCAAGGCGCCGTTTTCTTTCCAGTGAGTCAATATTGATATTTTTCGGAGCCCAAATCGCAGTCCCCTCGTGGTCAACGGCAACGCTCCCCCTTCTCTCCGGGTTTCAACGAAACTGGGATTTGGAGATGAGCACGGGATAAAATTAGATTGGATGAAGCAACTGGATACCAAAGCGGTGAGCGAGGTGTGCGCAGCTCCCAAACACCTCCCTGCACGGCGCTGCCACGTGTGGCACCCGTGCAAGGCGGTTTGCACATCCCAGAGGTATTATTGCAGCAAAACCGAAGCGCTGGCGTGCCCTCTGCAAGCCGGGCAGCACCGGCACCTCGGCTAACCGCAGCATCTCCCGGGGTGGAGCAGCCGGCAAGAGCCGCGCCCCCCATCCTCCGCCGCGGTGGGAGATAGCGGCACCCGGCGTGGTCCTGGGAGCGCGATTGGCACGTGGTTATTTCTTAATTATTATTTTTTTTCCGCCTTCTTTGTACAGGTAGCTAAAAAACAGTGTTATAGTTGAGCCACAACCGTGTTTCACAACCATGCTTAAAATGGATATTTTTGTAGCATAGTCAGGGCCTAAAACAGCCTTGCAAAATTCTGCTCGCCCACGCGCCTGGCGTGAGTAATTTTCTTTTGATGGGTGAGTAAAATATCATTATTTTTTTCATGCTCATCTTGGAATGGGTGGGAGAGTAGATTCTGACATTATTTTTGATTTGCTTAACACTGACACCGCGCTTGGCTCTGTGCAAGATGCAGAGATACGAGCAGCCCCTGCTCCGAAGAGCTCGCCGTCTGCGGGCACACCTCTCCGCTGCCGAAGTTGAGGAAGGTGCCTTGTTTCCCCGGGCTGACCTAAACCAGCATAAAATGGATGTTTACGTCTTCTTTTTTCCTTCTCCCCTCCTGCGGGGGCTCGCTCTGACATCCATTTGTGGCTTAGTGCCTACAAGTTCATAGGGAAGGGGTTGAAATGCAGGTGGGAGCACACGCCTGCGGGGATGGATGCATTTATTTCCGAGGGACCGTAGCCCCACGTCGCTCCTCTCCCTGCCTCTCGCCACCCCGTGACCTCCCCTCTCGTCTCCACCGAAGAGAAAACCCAAACCAGAATTTGGCGCAGAGTCTCCCTCGACATAAGCTGTTTGTGATCCGTTTGAATAATTTTTTCCTTTTTTTGCCTTCGCGCTGTGTTTGGAGCGGTTGCTATGAGTTCCTGCGAGGCGGGGGGAGCGGGGTGGGACGGTGCATGCAGTTTCCATGGACACGATGTAGTACAGCGAGGCATCCGGAGCGATGCTCGAGATTAATGTCTAACCCGCGTCTGCCTTCATGCCTTTCTCACCTGGGCAGAGCTGGGATCCCCCCCCTTGGCTCCGGGGCAGCCCGCACGGCCATGGATTTGCAGCTTTTGACGATTTTTAGGAAGCCCAAAGTCATGAGACCCGTGGTCCAGGCGCCCAGGGTTGGTTTTCTCGGCGTGCGCATGGGCAGCACCGCGTGCCCTGCCAGCCTTCGCCCCATTGCCTCTCCTCGGTTCCTGTGCAGGCTGCCTTCGGCGCTTGTTAGGAACACTAACGAGATCATTAGTCCTGTTTCAGCAGCTACTGATGGTGGTCACAGCTGCCCTTGAACTTCTGGGGTTCTCTGGCTTTCCCGTATCGCATCACGGAAAGCTCCTTTCCTAACACTAACGTCTTGCAGCGATGCTTACCTGAGTGCAGAAGGCACGGCGTGGGGAGGGGAAGCGCCCTCCGGCCATGGAGATGCTCGCTCAAGTTCATTCGATAACGGCAATGAGAAAGCGAAAGTTACTGCCTCCACGTTCGCATCCTTCCTCGGATGCTCCCGACCTTCCTGTTGGTGCTTGCGGGAACGCTTTGATCTCTCCCGGACAGCCGCTAGTCCCGTGAACAGGCAGGTCTCCTGGCTGCAGTTACACCTCCAGCCGAGCCCTCTCCCAAAGCAGGAGCCCGGGAGAAGGGAAGGGCTCGCCACCGAGCAGAGCAGGGCTTGGGGAAGGGCCCCTGACTGTCGCAGGGGGAGTTTCTGGGGTAGCTTAGGGTCAGTTTTTGACTTCTCGGAGGATCAGGTATAAATGGGTGGTTTTGTAGAAGCCCTCGGCACGCCACGTGCCAAAATCCTTGGGCAGACAGGCCTCGGTGGGTTGGGGTCACCCCTCGCAGCGCGGGAGGCCGGGTGTCGTCCTCTTGGCTGCAGGCAGAGAGAGGTTTCTTTCCAGCGAAAGAATTGAGGTTCTTGGTGGAAATTCAAAGAGTGAAAAGCTCTGGCGGAAATCCAGGCTGCGCTGGCTTGCTGGCACTTGGGGTTTCGATTGGGGGAAAAAAATAGAAAAAAAAAAAGCCCTGAAACTTTCCATGGGAAGCGGGCACCTTTCACAAAACATGAATTTAGTTGGTGGTCTGACGGTGGTGGTGTTACTGACAAAAACCGGTCGTTACCACCGCTTTGTACCACGTTTAGACCTGCGGGTCCCTGGCAAACACCACCCGCGTCCGCCACCGCCGGTGGCAGAAATATTGATTTTGACGACGTGCGGTCGCTAGAGATTTGGCGTCACTTTTCCTAAGCGTCTGGGTAATTAACTTCCAAAACGCAGTGTGAGCGAGCAGGTTGTCCCGGCCTCAGCTCTCCCTGCCCTTTCCCTCGTGTGCTGGTTGTCTGTCCGTCTGTCCATCCTTCCTTCCCTCCCCAGCCCCTGGTTCGGCAGCAAGCGGCTCGGCTCAGCATCCCCAGGGACAGCGGCTTGTCAGCTGTGGGTGAAAATGCTTCGTGCTTATCCCTTGCTTATCTGCGAGGGGTCTTCTGGGGCCTGATTAGGGGTTGCAAAGCGATGTTCAGATGAAAGTTGCTGTGGGGGAAAGGGTCGCATCCACCGATTGTTTATCCCCTGCGCACGCTTGGAACGCCGGCCGGGCTCCCCGGCCTCCCCGCCGCCTGCTCCGGGCCGGGGATGGTGCCGAGGTTTGATGTCCTGCTCGGTCCAACGTGGCGAAAGGACCATCGCCTCCCTAAATTAGCAATGATTTAGTCTGATTCACGCTGGCAATTCCTGTGTGCCTTCGTTTCAGGGGACTAGCGGAGAGTGGGAGGGGGAGCTACATGTTTTAAACTCCAGCTCCCGGCAGACCTCGCTGAGCTGTATTCTCCCCCTGCCTGCGAGGTTTGTTTGCAACTCTCCTGTGCATCCAGAGGAGAATTAGCTGCTTTGGTGTGTGGCCCTGGGTTTGCACATGGAAAAGCCAAGTAAATATATGACATTGCTGGGGAAACTTCAGAGAAAATTAGCCACAGCTTCTCCCACCTTCCCCTCCCTGGGGTTCCTGAGCATCCCCGAGTAGAAGCTTGCAGGATTCTCTCCACCCACACTTTTTTTCCTACTTTAAGCTCTTCCCACCCCCTCCCTGCAGTGCTTCGCCCTTCTCCCTCCCGGCTGAACCCCACCGCTTTCCCAAACTCCTGGCGACCTCCCCGGGGCGGGGGGGTGTGGGTGGCCGGTCCGGGCCAGGGGCCGGGATGCTCCCCCAGCCCTGCCGCACGGGGCGGACCAGGGTGGGAACGCTCTGGCTGTGACTCAGTGCGCTTGCGCTCTTCAGGAACAAGATTTCAAGGGATTTCACACCCCAAACACAACCCCAGCTTTCTCTCGCTCAGCAGAAATGAGAGATCAAAAAAATGCACCGATTCTGGTTTTCCTTCGGTGTGTGTAGACCCGTGCTCAGCTTTTAAGGTAACGGTGATAACCGTGCCACGCCGGTAATCCATGGCAGTAAAAGATACCGACCCATCTCGCTCCAACTTGTTTGCGTTATGCCCGTCATACCTTTTCTAAACAGAATAAAACACCTGGCGGCTCTTAATTTTTGAGCAAATGCTTGTAATGTTGCTGTATCAGGCCCATGTTGTCCCCCCTTATTTCGCAGGCTGGGACGCCGACTCACGGAGGGGCAAAAATTTTCGGTGCCAGCAGCAGCAGCTTTCCGTTGCGTTTCGAAGCGCGGGGTGTATCCGTTTGTTTTAAAAGCTCGGATAAGATCCGTACCTCTCACCTTTTTTTCTTCTTTACTGCTTAAACCCATATTAAAAGGCAAAGATTCAGAAACAAGGAGGATTATCTCAAATTGTAAAATAGCAACAACAAATAAAATTGGTGAATAGACATTACTTGCACGGGGTTATTTTTTAGAGGTTTTACCGAGACAGACATAATTAGCCAACTGGCATCACGATGCTAATAGAGATATTTACTGCTTCAAAGTGTATTTGCAGTGTTGTGAAGCACTCCAGTGACTTGCTTTTGTTCTGGAAGAAAGTAGCTGGGATTTTTTTTTTCCTTCCCTTCTGTGGTGCAGCGGAGATGGGGATCGGGACCCCACGTGGGACCCCCTGTGCTCCCCGCTGCCTTCCCCTCGGCTGCTGCCTGCGCTGCCGGCTCGGTGGCACCCGACCGATGCCGATTCACGGCTTTGCCCTGCCCGTTCCCCCCATCCCTCTTTTATTACCAGAATTGCCTTGCTTTAACCCAGCTTGCCAGCGGACAGCAACGGTCGGGATTGCTTCTCTAACTAACCCGCGTTGGCAGGGTTGGCCAGACAGGGAGAGGGGAAGGTTGTGCGCAGGTAATGCTTTAATCGCCCTTTTAACCGTACTTTCCCGCTAGGAACCAGCCTAGCTCCAGCTTGAACCCTGTGCTTGCTCCCGCGCTGCCGGAGATCGCCCAGCAGCCGCCACGGCTCGTCGTGCAGGCTGGTTTTTCTTGGGGTAACTCACACCCCCCGGGTAAAGACCACATCTTCTTCTCCTCCTTCTGTGAGATAGCTTGATGCCATCACTTCCAAAAACATCGAGTGACGGCACCTGGCTGCAGATGGGACAGCCTGTGCCTGCGAGAATAAGGGAGGTACCTCAGTTTAGTTTATATTTGACCCATGTAGGAAAACACAAAGAAAAAATCCTTATTTTTTTTACTTTCTTCCTGTAAGGCACCACACACCCAGTTATTGACGGGGTAATTATACACCAGACGAGTGTTTGTTTATAAAAGAAGTGTGATTCACGGCTGCCGGGCCTGCCACGGGAGCTGGAAAGGGTTAACAGCCTAAAATTATATCGGTCCAACCGGAGAACCATAAACAGGAAGTTCTCCAGAAAAATTTAAATTTAAACCTGGTGACTCAGGTTGGCTTGTGCTCCCTGAGCCGCTCAGGAGGTACGCACGGGTTGCAGCCCCGGCTTATTACCGGTGGCTAATTACACCGTTGGTTGGAAAACAGCAGCAAAGATGGGCAGAAGCGAGGCCGGGAGGGATCGGGTTGTCGGATAATCTTGGTTTTGCTTCGCCCGCGTGGATGGCACGTTGCTTCGTCGCAAGCACTTTCTCCCGTCGCGTGGCATTGCTCATAGCTGGGTTTTTACAGCACGTTACGCCAATAAAAATGTTTTCTGGGGTTCCAGTTGTCCGATCGAGCAGTGTTACAGCAGTGCCGGTGCGGGGGAACTTGTAAGTAAAGCTGATGAGAAACAAACGGAGAAGCCAGCCACGCGTTTGCTGCCCAGCAGTGAGAAAAGCCAGCTTGGGAGGCAGCGTGACCAGCGGCCAAGCCCGAGTCCTAAAGTGCATGTTATTAGCTTAGACTTTGGGTAGCAGTGTGAGAACTCGGACTGGTCCAAGAGGGGACTCGGGCACCTTCCCAAGAAGCGCCTGGTGCGGATTTGGGGTGGGGTGCCGATGCCGCTGAGCTATAGGCATGCTCTAGGTGAGGCATCTCTGGGAAGATACTTGCGTTTCATTATGGGACCAATTTTTTCTCTTTAGTTAAAGCAGTGTGATGCAGAAAACATTAGGAGATTTTGGATGAGATGCTTTAGCCAAGCAGCACCTCTTTAACTTAATTAAATACATTGAAAACAGCAGTTGAATTCCTGGATTTTTATTGTACTGATAGGTGGAAGAAATCCAATTATTTTCAGGACGGCCTACGTGGCTGTAACCGTCTGACCCAGCCACCCTTACATGTGTTGTGTAATTTATTTTGAGTACTCTTCACCTTTGAGCTAGCTCGCGTGGGGAAAATCATTCAGGTAACCCAGATTTTACTAGCAACCATATTAAAGATTTTAAGAATGAAGGCTGTTCTGCTGGCAGGTGAGCTGCTCCTACAGCTGTTGTATCAGAGAAATCCTTTGAAGCAGCTCACAGCTCCAGACACTCGGGTTGTTACTTTTTTTAATATCCTCTTTCTAAATATTTACAGGGTTTGGGTTTTTTTTTATTTTTTTTTTTTTCCTCCCCTTCAGATTTGTTTTTAAACATAGCGTGTTCCTCAGACGTTTATTTTGCCAAGGAACGCCTGGAGCATCCATTGCATTTATTTGCCTTACTAGGAGGGCCGGAGGGTGGGGAGAGGGGAGTGCTGCGGCTGGAGATGGAGGTGCTGACCGCTATGTCAATGACCAGCTGGAGTGCATGGAGCTCCTCCTGGGGATGGATGAGGAGCTGACTGAGAGCTTATGGGTCAGGATTAAAGGGAGGCGCGGGGCTGGGCTGTTTGAGGCCGGCATCGCTTGCTTACACATTCCCTCTTCTCTCTTTTCCAGGATACCGTTCAAGATCGGGCAGCCCAAGAAACAGATTGTACCCAAGACAGTGAGTAAACCAGTTCCCTCTTTTTAGATCCAGCCTTTGATCATGTGGCTGATGAGTCAAGCCGGCACTTTGACTCGTCCCATTTTGCGAGCGTGTGCGTGTGCGTGGGAGGGAGATGTGAGCGAGCAGAACCTGTTGCCGCGTGTGACCAGCGCTCGGTTCCTCGTGCGAGGAGTGAGGGGGAGCCCCAACCAGGGAGAGTATTTTGGTTTGGGATCTGTTTCATTTTTGGGGGGTAGGGTGGGGGGTGAGGGGAAGAGCTCTTTTGGTCTGGCACAGTTTTCCTCGGAGATGGCTGAACGGGCTTCCTTCCTTCCTTCCTTCTTTCAGCAATGGCTTGTTTGTTCATCCTTTCTGAGCAGATGGAGGAGGAGGAGTGGTTCAGATCGCTGAATATAACTGTTTCCAAAGAAAGGCTTATAAGCTGAGATGCTTAGTGCTCGGGCGTGAATTAATTTGTGCTGCACAGCATTTGCTTTAAAAGCAAATTAAAAAAGCATTTTGTATTCTCATGTATTTGAGACTCCTATCCCAAGTGCTGTTGCTTGCAGCTGGCTGTGGTATTTTCCCTTCTTAAGCAGATGGTCTTTGCCTTTGTCCCGTGCAAAAAAAGCTGTGGGACCTCACAGTAGCTGTCCCTGGAAACCAACCTGCATACCTGCTCTAAAATAAGTGCCCCGACTGCGAGCGCAGTGGAGACCTTGTCTTTATAACGGCATTGGTGACCTAATCCCTTGAACAGACTAACATCTCTGATCCTTCCTCTCTGGACCACTCATTGCAGCTAATTCCTCGGGGTGCGTGGACACTCATGTTTATGGGACAGCTTCTCCTCGGGACATGACATTTTCCTCTGGAGGCAGAGGGCTAATTCTGCCACTCCCTTTATGGCTTGATCGACATGTTTTATTTTAAGGGATTTGGTAGTTGTCTGCTGCCGTAGAACAGCAATTTTCTGTAACGGCTCCAAACTGTCAGTACAAAATTTAAGCCAGGCAGGCGATGAAGACAAGCACTGGTAAAAACGCTCAAGGGTTTTTGTGTCTCTTCAGCTGCCCTTTTCCCAAGGGCTGGCGACCAGCCGGCGGAAGGTGCTGCTGTCTGCGGTCCCCCAGGAAAGGCAGTCCACCAGCCTCAGGTCTTCACACCCATCCCCGTTTGTTTCAGGAGACCCCACGTTGCCTTGCTCCACGAGATTTTGCCTCTCGTCCTCTTTCCCGGTGTTTCCAACACCGGTGTCCTTCCAGGCTGTTGCAAGAACCAACTGCTCTGCAGCTCTGGGTGTCTTGGCCAGCTTTCTTCCACGTCTCCGTCCCACCTGTTCTCACATCCAAGTTGACTATATTTTCTCTCTTGCCGGTGCTTGCTGATTTCCCTCTGCTCCTGCTGCGTTTGGTGTTGCGAGAGGTTTGTCTGAAAGACCTCGTCTCCCCTGTGCCGTGCTGCTGAAATCAGCCGTCCCCGAGCTGCGGCAGGAGCTTGGGCTCCGTGCAGATGAACGGTTGCACCTTTGAGAGCTTGCCTTCCCCTGAGCTGCTGGTATGTGCTGAGGCAGTTGGCAGGCATTGCTTATATATATATATGTGTGTGTGTATTAAATAGAACAGCTCAGAATATCCGGCAGGCAGAGGTTCATTCAGCAGCGTGAGTGTTTCCAGGCCTTTTCCCTTTCCTTCCTGCCTGCCTTCCTTCCTTCCTTCCTTCCCCATCTTCCTCAGCTCCCCCAAGAAGAACAACAAGTTTTTGTGTCAGCGACTCGGTAGCTCAGAGGTGGATGCCAATTTTTAAATGGCTTCCACTTGCCATGTGGTGATGATGATGATATTCTCCAGGCAGCAGATACGTGGAAAGCAGAAAACAGGAAGCCCAGAGCCTTGCAACCTCACAGTAAGTGTAAAGTGCAGCTCTTCAAAGAAGAACAAACGGCAGGAAACCACCGCTCTCCCCTGGGAGCGAGGCGTTCAGCGTCGTGGTGTGGAAGTGATGGGGCTGCTTTGTAGCTTTAGCGAGCTCGAGGGCCCCCAACTTTACCTCCCAGTTGCAGGCTGAGACGCTCCATCTGTGCAGGCTTTTGGGAGCAGCGGTAGCAGCCGAGGTCTGTGATATTCCAGATGTTGGGCTCTGGAGCCCGCTGCAGGAAGTGGGAAGGTGTGGCATCTCCAGGGCTGCATCCCAAGCCGATCGGAAGGGAAGTGGTTGCGGGCAGAGGATCTCCCACTCACAGAGATTGGACCACAAAAGAGGAGGGGGGGAGGAAGGAAAAAAAAAAGCATTTGTTAGGATCTAACTTATTTGGCTCTCCATGAGGCATGTAACTCGAGCGCAGGAGAGGGGAGAGCCGCTTTGCCGAGAGAGGCTTAGCTCGCCAGCGAGCCTTTTTTCTTTTCTTGATGAAACGATGCTGGGGCTGGTGTCAACTCTAGGCAGGCAGTAGTACTGAAAAGCAATTTGCCTAGGCTGCAGAGGGAATTAGTCATGAGTCCCTATGCCCACTCGCTTCTGATCCTTTGAAGAAGGGCATAGTGTCAGCCACAGTTTAGCTCTTCAGGTAGAAGGAAACCCCCGTAGAAAATATTGGCGGGTGAACTGAAGTGATCTCCCACCCCCCAGACATGCCTCTGCTTTGTTTCCACCTTAACCTGGGCAAATCCAATTCCAGACAGCATAATCTCTCCCCTCCTCTCCCCTGAAAAGAGCAGCTGTCACCGGGCTTGCCGAGAGGCCAGGAGCCGGGTGGGAGGATCTAATGCGCAGAGAGGACCTGCTGTCAGCGGAGCCACAGAGGACACAGTAACACAGCCCAATTAAACTAATGCCCAGTGATAGAAGTTAAACCTGTTAGAATTATATCTCTCTGCAGAATGTTTATTGCTCAAATCCGATGCAGCGATGAAGCCTCTTATGGCAGAGATGTTCTTCCCTCCCCCAGGACAACTTCGGTCTGAGCGGAGGTTACGCTGGAGCCAGAGCTGCAGTTATCTTCTGAGCCCTCTTGCAGCTCCAGCTTGCTGAAGTTCATCTGCGTCACCCCAAGGTTGTACCCTGCTCTTCACTGGGGCTTGGGTTATCTGAGCCGGCAGGTAGCCGGGAAGAAGAGCCGGCCGCACGTCCCCACGGGGCGCGGAGCCGGGTCGGAAGCCGGGAGAGCCAGCCAGCTCTCATCCCCTCTTGGGACGGGGCAACCCAGCGCACAGCCCCTTCATGTCACCCAGGTTTTACCCCTTCCTCCCTCCCTCGGCAGCGCTCTGGCCTGAGCTGACTCAGATGGCTCGCCTTCCTCCTCCTCGCTGGCTAAACTTGGGTGAGTCAGCTTGGCAGGGAGTGGAGACCTGAGCTGTGGGCCCGCCCGCCTGCCAAGCCTCCCTTCCTTGACTCATCCCAGCAGCTCTGCCTTCCCCAGGGATGTCGGACGGAGGAGCTCCATGAGCAGGAGGATTCCACTGCAGCTGCCGGCCGTCAGCGCCTTTCCACTGAGCTCCACCAGCGAGCTGGAAATCCCAAAATAATGGAGTAAATGTCACAGAAATGGTGGGGTGAAATCAAGTGACGCCAGTTAAATACTTTTACTTATTTTCGCTCTCTTCCTTCAGTCTTCAGCGGGACGTAACCAGTCTCTGCGGTTCGGAGGTGCATCCTTTTTCCCTTTTAGCGTGCCACTTAAGCAGCCTTTCTTGAAAGCTTTCTCGCTGTTTGGAGGGTTTGGAGAGCTTGCTGGGTGGCGAAGCCCGTGAAGTCCCAGATACGCCTTCACTCTGCAGCGTTGCTTTGGCTCAGGGCTCCGCTGTCGGACGCAGAGCAAATATTCACTCACGTTACTTGCCTTGAATCTCCTCTTGCTTGATGGGATGGCAAAAGCTCAGCAGAAGTTCCAGGTTATGGCACAATTTCTGGCCTAATTATATGGGTTTCTTTTTTTTTGGAGAGGAGGGAGGAGGAAGCATTTGCTTCCCTCTTTTTCCCAAGACCCACGAAGAGGCTGAGACCACTGGAACATGTAGAAATCAGCTAGTCCTCCTCCTCCAGGAAAAGAAATTAACCTCAGGGGAATAAGAAGGTTCATCACAGTCCCTTATTTCCATCTCTTTGTAGTGTTGGCTTTGGTCTTGCTTCGTTGCCTTGTAACCATGGTGTCGATTATGATATTGCCCTTAAAGCAGGAGGGTTATCATCACAGGTGGAAGGCCCAGTGTTTGCAAACAAAAATAACTGGCTGGAAAAGAAGAACATCATTTTATTTCAGTGCTTTTAAGAACTCGTCGTTCTTTATGTAGATTTAAATAAAAACCCAGAGACGAGCAATCTTGCATTAACTAGTCCGTATGCCTAGAAGAAAAAGCGTTCAATACAGAAACACGTTCTGATTTTGAGTTTTCAGAAGGAGGCTGCAGAGAAGTGGGATTATTTTAATATTACGGAAACTTCCCTTCAGGATATTGTAATTTTCTTGCCTGTACTTCTTGTTCTCGTTACTCTTAACATGATCATCCTATCCACAGCCTTTTGCCGTAAGTGTCGGCTATGCATGGCCATTGATGATCGCTACTGGGAGGGGGAATTACCGTGCACTCTGCAAAATGTGCTTGGCTTGCTCTCAGCTTGTCCTCCTTGCGCGCCTCTGATCCGCTGGTCGCTGCCGCCTGTAAATCTGCAGGGTGGGAGCACGTGAGAGCGGGTCTTCTCTGTCTAGTGCATGGGGGGCCCTGCCCCTCGCTGCTTCTGTCGTATAGTTGGGCTCCCGCGATGCAAACGAGAGCAGCGATGACTGGGAGGGCTACATCAGCCTGCAGACTGTGATGACTGGTAGCCAGTTGCTACTGTGGGCGTGAAAAATAAGAGCAATCCTTGGGCAGCTGTCTCTGCATAGATGGCACTGGAGATGTGAGTCAAGCCGGGCAGCTGAAGTGCCGCCTTGTAGGTTCACCTTGATCACATGTAGAAAGCCCACAGGCTAACCGGGGTTGGGTGTTTCGGGGAAGCTGGGAAGCCCTGGAAGATTTGGGGGTTCACCCTCACCTGGAGGGTCGCAGGGGGGGGAAGTTTGGCCTTCCTTTGTGTCCATTAGGCGACGATGCCTTTTGCTTGTCTCCGCTCATTGCACGGTAATGGGGGAATCGAACGGCAAAAGGGAAGGGGCAGATACCGTGGATCTTTGCAGGCGGTTTCATTTCGTGTCCAAACCCTCCGGTTCTTGGAGGAACCGATCGCTGAGCGGACACAAGGAAGAACCTCCCGAACATGGAGAGGGCTCTGGAGCTCCATGCCAGGGGAAGGATACCACCAGCCTTCAAAGGACATATTTTTGAGTCGTGCCCGACCCTCTCTGGTTTGCAACCAAAACAATTCACACATAAGGCATATAAATAGAGTGCAATACTCCCTGGTTATTTTAGCAGCCGGAACAGCCATAGAAATGGAGGGTGATTTTTACTATGTGCTGGTTACCTGACCTCCAGGCACCAGCTGCTGCGGATTTCTGCAGAACTGTGAACCAGGCAGAAGTCGTGTGAGCTGCCCCCACACTGCTCCATGCCTGTTCTCCAGCGACCATTTTTAGCAGCACGAAAGGGAGTTGGAGCTCGGTGGAGGTTTTTCATCGGCAGGGAGAGCCAGCATGCCTCCCCCGGATGGTGGGAGCTGATGGTGTGGACAGCTGTCTACTGGGGACGGGGCTGACACTCGGCACGCTCACCGCGCGGGTCACCGGCTGCCTTCAGACGGGGCTGGTCGTGTCGCTGCGGAGTATCTGAAAGTGCAGACCAAAAAGATATTTAGAAAAGGAGGTTTCAAGAAAACTGGGATTACTGGGCTCCATCTTAAAATACTGGTCTTTTAACAGCAATTTGGGTTGAAAAGCAAATGTCCCTATTAAGTGTTCTGGTTTCACATAATGCTGTTACATCGAGCCTGGGTTTGAAATCCCGAGGACAGCATGAAGGTTTGGAACAAACCTTTGGATCCTTCTAGTCCTGGCTGCTTGCAACACTTAGCATTTCCTTAATAGCATGGTAGCTTGACAACACAAATGAACCCAGTTTTGATCCCATGACAACAAAAGCGCATGTATTTACTCTTGGCTGGTCAATTGAAATCCATTTGCTTATTTGGTCGACGAGGTGTGGAATGAATGTTTAAGTGTGTGTTAAAACAGTCAGCATGGAAAGAAAGTTCCTTAAAATATCTTGTATCACTGGAGATTTGCTGCCAGATAGCAAGTAGGAGGAAGCAGTCATTGATGTAGCACTGGGAGAAGGTTGTTCTTCAGCTCTGTGCTCTTCGCCAGCACAGGTTTCTCCTCCCTGGGCGAGGTGCCGCAGTCCACTTGGACCACTGCTCCAGCTGAAGTATTTCATCGGAGGGAGCTATTGCAGGAATAAGGAGCGTATCGAGGGGGGCAAATAATACGGAGACTGGAGGGCTCGGTAATGGCTTGAGGGATTTGGGGGGAGAAAAGCCATCATGTTGAGGATGGGGAAGGAGAGAGCGGCTGGGTGGGGGTCTGGCAGCCAGCCACGGGCAGACCCACCGCAGGGGTCCTTTGCAGCATGCTGCTGGAGGAGAAGCGGCTCCTCTCAGCTTCTGGGACGATCGTGCCTCTGGAAGAGAAAGCGGGCTCGTCCCCCGCCAGCACTGAGCTGAGCTGTGGGCGCCCGTGTCAGTGTGTGCTAAGTTGCGATCTCTCTGCTTTTAAGGCATTCCCATTTACTCTGTCAGCTTCCAATTCATGTGCTGGAGCACATCCTTGGAATGAGCTGACGCAGTTGGTGGCAGTGTCTTTTGCTCTAAGAGAGTCTGGAGGAAAAAAACCCAAGACTTCATTTACTTTTGAAGCGAAACTCCCATTATGGCTGCAGCTTATGCTTCCCTGGGTTCACGTAGGCATTTCCTAAGGACAGGTTTCCCTGCACAGGTAGTTGCCATTCCGGGCTCTGCTGCAGTACCTTTGAGCTGATTTCCATCTCCTCTTTCCACAGGTGGAGAGAGACTTTGAAAGGGAATATGGAAAGCTTCAGCAGTAAGTATCAACCACACTGGTAAAACAGGAACAGTAGCATATTTCTCTGTTGTGCCCTCTTACTGCATCTTCCCAGGAAATTTTAGCCAGTTATGCTCTTCCCAGCAAATCACTCGCTGCCCTGTAATTTCTAATTCTTCAGAGTTCCTCTGGTGGCTGGGTGTTCAAAGGTGTCCTAAGAAGTATTTGCAATGGGGTTGAGGTTTGCAGATCATGGCAGCTCTAAAGTAAAGAGTGTAAAATTGCCAGAAAACTGTGGGGTCACTGAACAGCTCAACACCTCTGAGGACAAATATTGGTTTTACCATACTGACTGTGTCACATAAGCTCACACTTATCATGTGGAAGCATTTGGCTTTACCATTTGTGGTAAGTGTGAGGACTTAAGAAAATATGTGACTTTGAATAAGAGATCACCAACTTGAAAAGGTTGAAAACCATCTGAAAACAACCAGAAAAGGTTGAGCAGTACTGAACTTCATAGAGCCTTGCCTAGATATTTTTAACTCACAACAGAAGCCAGCATATTCAGCCCGTAAATGATTTGTTGCACGTATGATACACTTCGGTTTGTTTCTTTCCAAGATTCAGACTTTGCCTTGTTCTCCCATCTTTCAGATTGGAAGATCAGACCAAAAAACTTCAGAAGGATATGAAGAAAAGCACAGATGCAGACTTGGGTATGTGACTGTAGGATACATAGACTGTGAACTTGGCCACAAAGAGATGAAGTGACTTTCTCAAGATCACATGAGTAATCTGTGACAAGTCTGGAAAACAAATCTAGATCTCAGTCCCACTCAGTTTGCTTAGTTACAAGGCCATCTGCATGAGGGCTGCCGAGCAGTATCTCAAACCAAGGGAACAGAAAGTATGTTATGGGCTTAGTCCCTATCTCCTGAGCTGCAGCTTGCTGTGTGGCCTTGGACAAGTCACTTTCTTTTCTTTGCCTCAGTTTCTGCACCCAAAAAAGGGGAGTAATTATTCCAGTTCCCATGTTAGAAGGGCAGGAGCAACCTCCAGCTGAGCCTATTGGGTCGAGCAATGCATAGTCACCTACTTCAGTCGAGGGCATCTTATGCTATCTGAAGCCAAAGGAAGGTGGGATGAGGCTTTGAGGGGTCTGCAGAGCACCACGTAGGCATCGCTATACGTGTCTCACGTGTGAACTGCTGACCTAGCAGCTCCCATTCAGGAATAACCCTGCTCGTTCTCTTGGTGGCTGCTTGCTTTGGCTTGACCTCGTGGCAGTGGGCGATGTAGGAAGCAATAAACAAGTCATCTCCGCGTGTACCGCCGCAGCTGCCTGCTGCTGCCTGCGCGGGGTGACATCTGCCCTTCAGGTGTCCCGTCCCAAGGCACGGCAGCCCCTGCCCGCTCCATTCATAGCTTCTCTAGTGGGAAACCGGTGTGACCGCACCACGTGGCGCAGGCTTTAAACGAACATGGGGGAGAGAAGATGGAGCGATCTGGCGGAGGGGAGCTGGGAGAAGTGGATTCGGTGGATGCCGGTTACTGAACCGAGCAGGGCAGCCTGCAGAAACATGCAGCACGGAGCTGTTTTAAACACAGATGGTTTTTCTCAGCATGTGGTTTGGAGTAGTCCCTATTTGTACTGGGCCCCCACAGCTCCGGAGCCAAGGCAGATGCACCAGCGCAAACAGGTGTGGGCTGGACCGGTCCAACACTCATCTCGTGGGAGTTCGGTTCACAGAGGGGCAGAGGAGTGGGAAGGAGCCCCACCGGGCGCTTTGCCAGCGGGAGGGCTGGCAAATTTGGGGCTTCCCATGATACAGGCTCTCACCTGTGTGTATGTCTGTGTGCATGCTCGGATATTGCCAGACATAAACACGGATCCCAGCTCTTGCCCGCGCCCTCCCACCCTTCCCAGCACCGTGCTGGCACATGTGTGTGCTCGCACAGGGAGAGCAGTGGGAAAGGCACCAGTAACCGGCGCTGCCAGGACTCCTTTCCAGGGTGAAAACTGCCCTTTCTGGGGACTTTGGTCATTGTCAGGGATCCTTGGTAAGTTTTTCCTTGTTAAGGATTCCCCTCCCCTCCCTTGCAGTGGGCGTTGTTTATATGGAGCATTTCAAGTCCCAGAGGAGCTGTGGGAGGACTTTCTTTTTCCGTTCTGCTACATGGCAGAGTCACAAATGAGCCTTGGCCAGATCCAGTAAGATCTGATTTCTCATTTAAAGGCATGAAATCATGAGTGTAAGGGAAGATTTTGAATGCGGTCTGCTGAGGGATGGGTGAAGGAAAAGGAGGTAGATCTGATCAAGTGCTGAGGACTGCTTTCCTCACCTGGCAGTGCCCATTCCCGAGAGGAGATAGCTGTGCTTGCTCAGCCAACGTCCAGCCCCCATATCCGACGAGGATGGCAGTGTATCAGCGTTGTTGTGTCCTCTTGAGTGTCTTCTTTCTTCCACTGTACCTCTGTGCCGAGGGGTTTGATTATTCACTGCCTGCAAACACTCCCTAGCAAACTGGACCTCGTGGCTCGAGTCTCCACCTTCTGCCAAGAAAGACTCGGCTCAGAACGAGACCGATTCCTCCGTCTGCATGAAAATGGCCCTGCGAGGCTCGGCCGCTGCCCTGCCAGCTGCAGCTGCGTGGCTGGGAACGGGGTACAGGTTATTGGCAGCACTCTCTCTACTGTGGCTAAAGATCACTAACCCCCTTCCCCACCCTCTTTCCAGACAAAATACGATCTTGAGGAGCAGGAGGATGTTCTTTAATTGGAGGCAAAAGGTCTCCTTTTGAAATGAGATGCAGGTGACCCACTGGATCACCGTGGCTCAGTTTTGCTCTCTGGAGCGTGCCTGGCTGTTCTCCACTACTCTTATCGTGATGCAAACAAGCAGTGACTCTTTAAAGTCACCTCCTTTAATTGGAGTCGTGTCCCACATGCTTTATGAGCAAAGTGCAGTACAGACCCTCCTGAAGCCCACCCCAAGGAGCAGGTGATCCTCCTCTCCCTCTCCCTCTCCCTCTCCCACGTCAGTGATGTGCCTCTTGAGTTTCAAGACGGGGCTCACCACTGGGCACGTGGAGGTGGGACCAGGGGATGCCCTCCCGGGGTCCCGGCCCTCTGCACACCACTGGGGACGCAGCGTGTGCCAGGGTCTGCAAAGCTGCCTTGGGAACCGCAGAGCCCACCACGGCTGCTTTTTCAGAGCTGCACAGGTGAGGTCAGTGACGCAGGGGGAGTGTCTGGCCCAAAGTCTCACTGAACGTGCCTGAAAAGCCCCGGTTTCTGGCCTCCCGGCGTGACCCTGCTGCTCGCCGCAGCTCTCCTCGCTACAGTACGCTTTCAATCCTTTCCTTATGAAGGGAAACTAATTTTTCTTCCAGCTGAAGGAGTTCTGCCATTCTTAACTCCGTCCCGTTTTGGCACAAATCCTTCCTCAGATGTGGTCACACATATGGATTATATCCCATCTGTTTAAAGGTTTAAATGCCTAAACCCTTAATGTTTGGATAATAGACGGATACGGTAGCTTTGTTATTCTGTAGTTAGCGTCTCGTTCTGCATTGAGCTTCCCAGCTATTTAGCTTCTGAGCTCTCTGTATAATTGTGTGTAACCTTTAAATCAGAATGTTTAACCCCTTGATTTATGATCTTAAGCCCCATTATTCAGATGACTTTAACTTTTAATATCTGAGTGAGTACAGTAGGGGTCTTTCCAAAGCTCATCTGTAGCATGGCTCAAGCATCTGGCCTTCTGAAACTGGAATAACTTCCAGCAACAGTGCTGACGAAAAAGAACATTTTTTTTTAGTACCCGTGACTTTTTTTTTTCTTCTTTATTCCCATTTATATTGATGCTTGCCTTTTTATTCTTTTTTTTTTTTCCATTCTGTACCTTAGCTATTTTCTTGCTTTTTTATAGTGGTCCTGTCATAGGGATTTGATTTTCCCTTTGAAGACCAAGTCTATGGATAGGAAGAGAGATGTGTCTGATGGAAAACAAGCAGAAGTGCTTGGCGAGGCAGGAACTGAAGCCCATCAGTGTGTGACCTGGTGTTTCTTTATTTCTCGGTGACAGTCTCAGTGTCTGAAGAGACTTCAGCCTTTGCATTTTCCCCTGGCTTGTTGGTTGGGGTTGGTCTCCACAGGCAGAAAATTTAGGCTCATTGAGGGAAAGTGCTTAGCCAGCTTGTGTCTCTGCTGCTTGTGTAGTGCCTATTTTGAGAGTAAAAGAGAAACCTCGTCTTCCAGTCCTGTCAGTCTGGTCCTTTTCCACCAGCACTAAATCCACTTCAAATATATATTTTTGTAAAGCCATTTGAAAGACTTAATGGACTGTGATTTTTTCTCATTGTGGAAGAGCTGTAGTGAGACTGAGAGTGACACTTAATAGTCTGTCGAGAAAAGACATATTAAAAAACCCATCTACATTTTTTTAAGAGAACAGTGCTTTTGTGAGTCTGGTATTATTTCTGGCAACATCACAAGCCGTACATAGGAGTGGTTCAGACTTTATAAAAACAGTTCTCTGGGTGTTCACGTGAATGAATTGGTGGCTCTTCCTTTCTATTCTCTCCACCAATGTCGAATATCTTCCTGGAGAGTGGTGCTAAGCCCTCCTCGGTGGCAGGAGTCCCTGGGTTTTGCCCACGGTCAGCCTTTGCAGATGCAGGAGCCAGCCCTGGCAATGAGGGGTTGTGCGGCTGTCCCGCCAGGCAGCCGCTGAGACGTGACCCTCTCTGCTTTCCTTTGCTTGCATGCTCCTGTTGCCCACAGCCATGTCCAAGTCGGCTGTCAAAATCTCTTCAGACCTGCTGTCTAACCCCCTGTGCGAACAGGAGCCCAGCTTTCTGGAGATGGTCACGGCCTTCGACACGGCGATGAAGAGGATGGACTCTTTCAACCAGGAGAAGGTGAATATGGGTTTGGCTGGAGAAGGGGAGACCGGGGTGTGCTGAGGTGCTGTTGGTATCTCCTCCTTCCCTTTTTGTCATCGTCTCCAAGATGCTTCCCACATGAGTTTATAATCTTACCCTTCTGACTCTGGTTGTGCTGGGGATTGCAGCTCATGCTCAGCACATGGGAGAAGTTTGCTGTTTTTTGGTTAAAGGGCTTTGTGGTTGTGCTCAGAAGCCCACATCATCCAATGGCAGGCACTGTGCAAACGTGTATCGCTGTGCAAACAGGCTTTTTCAACAAGCCTGACGTATAATCATCCCTTTTGCTTTCAACAGGTGAATCAGATCCAAAAGACAGTCATAGAGCCTTTGAAAAAGTAAGTACCAACGTTGTCTTATGAGCCATATCGAGTGTTTGTCATAACCGTGTACTTCAGGGATGTGTATCATCAAAAGAGATGTTGTCGGGTTAGAAATCGGCCCTTCCTAAAGAGGTAATAGTTCACATCCCTGTGACAAAATGGCATCCCTCTCGCTTTACAGCTGGCGCATGGAGAGGGGGAATGGTTTAGCTGAGTCCGTACTCTTACTCTGTGGCAAGGGTAAAGACCTCTTGTCTCTTAGCCTGCCAGATGTCTTTATCTGTTCTTTGAACAGATTGTTTCTGATTATATATTTATATCAGATTATTAATCTAAACAGATTATTTCTGTTTAGATGAGTAATACTGAACGCATTAAGGCATCCAGCTTCTCTCCCTTTATATGTTGGTTACTACCAACACTTTGCTCCATCCAAATGAGAAAAATCATCTGGGGAGCCCCCCTGCGGGCAGCAGGCGTGGACAGTGCCGTCCAGCCCAGGGTGGTGAGTATGTAGGTCTTTGAACAAAAGTTGCTTTCCTTTGGAAGTTTTCTAAATAAAAAAGCAGAAGCTTGCTTTTAGTGAAAGTTCTTTCATGTTTATAAAGAATATATCCATGCAGGAAAGAAAGAGACGTGACAGAGCCGTAGCTAGACAGCGAGCAGGTGGGAAGTACGGACAGAAAAACCCCGGCATCCCCCGTCCCAGGCCGGTCACTGATCCAGGACGGGATGTCTCAGACCCTGGAGAGAGTCTTGCAAGCCTCTGCGGGAAAAGCTTCAGACCGCGCGTGGTCTGAAGGGCCAGGGTGGGGTGCACGTGGAGGGGAGCCCGCTGCGGAGTCACGCCGGGAGCCACCCTGTCACCGGGAGGAGAGGTGGCAGGGAGTGTGCCGGAGTCGGACCTCGCTCCAAACCGTGCCCGTCCGCAGATTGCACGGTTTGGAAATAAACCCTTATCAGAGAGCAAGAGCCGGAGCTGTTGACAGTTGTCGTGACAGGAAGAAAATTAACTCCATCCCAGCCGAAACCGGGACAACAGTATTGTTCTGGTAGCAGGCGTCCGTATTCTCCCCCGTTCCTTGCTAACCGGTGCCGTGCGGTGCGTCAGTGCTCAGTCGTGCCCCGGCACCGCGGCAATTCCGTCACCTGGCTCTCAGCTGGTGCAATTCCCCTCTGCACAATTTCCCCTGGCATTAGCGGCCCTTACCAGTGTCACAGGCTGTACCCCCTAAACATTTAAGGAGTGCTTCAGTTGCTATACCAAATGTCTTCTGAAATCCTGAGATTTGCTATTTTGTTACAAGAACAGAGCAAGCGAGAGAAAATAAAATAAAATGACTTTAATATGACAGTAAGTGTTGCAAATTGCTGAATAACAATTTTAGTTTAGGTTTGACACAGGGTGGGTTTTTTTCTTTTTAAGTTGTTGTTTCTGCCCAAATCTGAAAGTAAAATCTCATACACCACTTAGCGCATGAGGTTACAGTGTGTTTCTATCCGGGGGATGTTTGGTGACTCAAGTTTTACCTTGGTCGTCTATCCACGACCAGAAATTCTTGATTATTTAGAAAAAAAAAGAAAGAAAGAAAGAAAAAAAATCCTAGGCTTGTGCTGTGGAATTGTGTTGCTTATTATCTAGATTGTCCTCATGAAAGATACATTAACTTTTTCTTCCAGCATTCTGTTAAAATTGGAAGAAGGGCTTGGGTCTCTGAAATCTTCATGGGTTTTTTTTTTTCCCTAACTTGTGTTAGTTGATGAAATGAAAGATAATACCTTTCCCTGCAAACCTTGCCTTGTATTTTAAACCCTGGGCAGGGTATGGGGCCGCTAATCAAAGACAATAAAGCCATTTCCACATCCCCGACTTCTTATTCTGCGTTTGTGCAGTGTTTGGCTGCTGGTCTAGATGCTGCCGTAGCACAGACGGTACAAAAGGGGAAAAAAACCCTTTCCTCTTGCTTTGGGTTTGAGGCTGCTGTGCAAGATCACGTTGTATTATTCCTGCCGTAAGGAAATATTGGGGAAACAGTGGAGTTTTGCAGGACATGGGGGCAGCTGGTTTGTTCCTCCTTGGCACCAGCGCGGTGCCTGTGACCGCGTCTCACAAGGTGCAATGCTCGACTCGCCTGCTATCAGTCCAGTCCTTAGTTGCATGTAAGGATGTTTACTTCAGCGTCCCGGCTGCTTTCCCGTCTTGGCAATTCCCTCGAACTTCCTAAATTTCCACTGGACTTGAATATGGTATTTTTTCCCTTCCTGCCCTTTGGCACCTGCAATCAGTTGCTGCGTGCTCTTAAACAGCTTATGTTTCACGCTTGGAGAGGCTGCATCTCCACGCCGAGCAAAAAATGTTCCTTTCCTTCCCTCTTTCTGACTCTCCGCGAGCGTAGGTACGTGCATGGCCGAGTCGTGCAGCCAGGAACATTTCTAAGGAGCCCAAGGGTCCATTTTGAGGCTAATGAGATGCAGGAGAGAAATGCAGAGCTTGCACCTCCCCTTGTCCTGCTGGCAGATAAACCCCAGCAACGTTTCTAGGATAAAAGTTTCAGATTAATGAAAGCTGCCTTGAGGAGCTCTTCTTATTTCCAGTTAGGTATTGCTTCCCCTCGCGGAGACAGTCCTCCCCAGCCTCTCCCAAACTCGCTTTGACCTAGAAAAAGGCTTTTGCTACAACAGCTGCACTTTATTACATCTTCACTGGTGGTCTTCTATAGTTTATTAGCCAAAGAAACAGATAAGTATAATCCAGGCAATTATCATTAGTGGTAATATATTGTAATCAGAGGCACATGTGTGGTAAAATCTCCATTCAGTTGTCCAGGGATAGTAGGTTTCAGACAAATATTGGAGAATTTGTTAAACCATGTAAAAGAAAGCGGTACTAGATTTAGAGGGGGGTGGAAGCTCGTATTGTTTAAACCCTTCTGCTTCTGGGGACGTAGGGTTATTCAGAGTTTTGGTTTTTGAGCCCCAAGAAGCCCTTGGCTGGGAATCACTCATTTAATTGCAGGGAAGGAGCAAAGCTCTAATGAGAATATTGCATACTTCAGCCTGTGGGTTGGGCAAGGAGCTGGGGTGGCTGGGAAAGGTCGGGAGGGATCTGCTCTCCTCTTTGGGAGATGCCTGCGTAAATTCACACCAGGTCAGCGGATCTGGGGCAAGGGGGGAGAAAAACAGCTGCTTTTTACTTCACTCTTCCAGTTCTTCACTCCGGCTTGGGTGAGGAGTGAGGTGTATCGGCTGGATCGGGGACTGGTGATAGACTGCGTACTGTCATCTTAGTATTACGTGTTGTGTGTCAGTATTTAAGGAAGGAAGCAGCTTAAATAAGCCAGGTGGTTTGGAGATTCACAGGCTTTAATGCCTTTCACGTTTGGAGCCGATTTTCGTTGCCGCAGGGTCTCGAGTTAACAAACTCGAGCTGTCTGAACCTCCCTGAGCATCGGGATGTCGTGGTCGCCCTGGCACGGTACCGTCCCCTTGGCTCGGAGCATGGTCCTGCTCCTGCAGCCGAAGCCGAGGGGCTGCTGCAGGACCGGGAGAGGCTTTGGCAGGGGTTATCGCAAAGGGTGCTGCCGCCTGGGTGCCATCAGCCGGGGCTGGGTGTCAGCGCGGCGGGAGGTCCCAGAGGTGCAATCCGGGAGCCCTTCGCAGCAGGTTGATGTATAAATTCAATTAGAGCTGTATGTCAGCAAATACCTGCCAGCGATAGCAACCGATCCTTGGCACCCACGGAGCGGGGGGGGGGGGGGGGGGTGGGG